ATTTACCCTAATGATTTAATTTGTATGCTGGGCAAATTATCAGTAAAGCTGAGCTATATGAAGAAAAACTGACATCAGGATTGAAGGAAGTTTTGATATGCACGTTACACTTACTAATCAAAACCAAAGCCTTCAGTATGGATTATACCTGACAACATGAAACAAAGTTCTCATAGCCAAGCCAATAGAGAATCTCAGAAGAAAAGGAGAAAAGTGGAGCTAGCAATGGTTCCATTCTAACCCTAATTGGCCTTCATGGAAACAGCAGCCAAGGCATCAAATAACATAATCCAGTAGGAAAATATGGTGCAGTGTGTCTGATCGGGCAATAGTCTTTGCAGTTGTGTGCTATGCATCTGAGAGCTGGACAGTCACTAGGGATGATAGAAAGAGAATTGATGTCTTCAAGCTGTGGTGCTGGAGAAGAGTGTTGAATAGACCATAGACTGTTAGGAGAACAAACAGGTTTTTCCTGGAGAGACTGAAGCCGGGCTGCTCCTTGGAGTCAAGGATTCGGAAGCTTCGTCTGACATACTTTGGGCCTGTTGCAAGGAGCAATCCTTGGAGAGGGACATCATGTTTTGGAGAGTGGAGGGACAGGAAAGAAGAGGAAGACCCTCAATGAGATGGATCAATTCTGTGATTGGGTGGTGGGGGTAAGTGTGTCGGAGACGCGAGGTTGGTACAGGATAGAACAGCATTTAAGGCTCTTGTACACAGGGTCACCATGAATCGTAGGTGACATGACAGCACATAACAACAACAACAACAACAACAAAGCACCTTTTAAAGTTAAAAAGCAAAGATGCCCCTTTGATGACTAAGATTCATTTGAACCACACCAGGATCTTTTCAGTTGCCTTATACACAAGATCAAGTTGCATAATGGATAAAGAAGACCAAAGAGCCAGTGCACTGGACCTGTGCTTGTGTCAAAGAATCTTGAATATACTGTAGACCATCAGAGGACAAACAAGCCAGTCTTCAAAAAGATGCAACTGGAATGCTCCTTGGAAGTGAGAATGGCAAGACTTTGGTTTAGTTATGTTGGACACGTCGTCTGGAAAGACCAGTTCCTAGAAAGGACATCATGCTTGGTAAAGTGGAGAGTCAGTGAACATGAGGGAAAGCCCTGACGAGATGGAATGACTCAAAGGATTGACCCACAACAATGGGTGCTAACAACATTTATAACATAGGAACAAACAATGTTCTGTTCTGTTATACAGTCACCATCAGTAGGGACAGGCTTGACAGCAACTAACAACAACAAGCAGCAAAGTTGTTAAGAAATTACTCTTCAGAAAAGGGATGGGGAAGAAAGAACATTTTCATAAATTTGAAAGGCTGTATAGTGGGTTGTATTTACAAGTGGTGCCATGACACTGACAAAAATCACAGTGGATCCCTGAGACTATAGCCCCTGGTCTCCCTTCAAGGCTAGAACTGAACTCACCCTCAAGATTTAGCTTTCAGGCAAGTGACAGGCAGATGAGCAATAACACTTGGGAGATAGGCACTCTTGAGAGTAATCAACAATACAACATCCAAAAAGCAGAATTTACCTGGGAATAAAGCTCAGAGGCAATAAAGTATCAGAAAGAAGGACAAATGGAAACAGAAAACACAGGAAGATCATGGGAAGAAGGTTGTTACACAGTGATGATAACAATTACCTTGCAAAATGAGTGTAAATTATTGATTGGAAAATTAATTGGCTCTGTAAACTCACACAAATAACCATAAAAAGATTTTTTAAAATTACAGTGAAATACCTGTGTATTATTCAATTATGAAAAAAATCAGTGCTAATCGGATCACATTCTCCCTCCTGCTATAGCAAACTAGAAACATAAGCCATTTCATCAATTACCCTCCTGGCCTTTTGATGCAGATGGTTGATCAATTTAAAGTGACATTGAATTCTTAAAATTAGAATACTTGGAGAAATGTTTCTCTTCCTTTTGGATAAAGTTTTGATAGTTTTTTTTAAAATTTTTTTTGGATAGTTCTTAAATGGTATAAAACCATCAATGAAAAATACTAAATCAAAATTAATACAACTTCAGAGTCTAAAAATGTGAGCTACAGTATCATTTTCAATGAATGTAGCCTTTTATAAATATTAGGAGTGAAAAGAGATACCAGATTTTGAACATTACTAATATTAAAGCATGAATGAGGACACCTGATAATAACAGAATCTGCTTACAGATTCTTTTTATAAATCTTTTTATAGATTCAGGATTAAAAACTAGTGATCTTTTCTGCTCAAAAACAAGACCTACTAGCATCAGAGAGTTGGACAATGACCAAGGAGGATAGAAGGAGAATTGATGCCTTTGAGCTGTGGTGCTGGAGAAGAGTGTTGAGGGTACCATGGACTGCTAGGAAAACAAACAGATTCATCCTAGAAGGGTTAAACCGGGTGGCTCCTTGGAGGCAAGGATTCTGAGGCTCCGTCTAACATACTTTGGACATGTTTTGAGGAGAGACCGGTCCTTGGAGAGGGACATCATGCTTGGGAGGGTGGAGGGACGGCGCAGGAGAGGAAGGCCCTCTATGAGGTGGATTGAGTCAGTGACTGGGATAATTGGGATGGGAGTGTCAGAGACAGTGTGATTGGCACAGGACAGAGCGGAGTTTTAGGGCTGTTGTACATAGGGTTGCTACAACTAGGAAAAATAATCTACGTGCATGGTTTATCCATGTATGATCTCTTCCAGATTCCAATGGATTATAAATACTTGCTATAGGAAATTCAGATCACTGTTAGCAGATAGTTAAGTTGACTTTGTGAATGGATCTCTTAGCTTTAGTATGTATCTCTACTGTAGCCAAGTCTTGGCTGGCTATCCTAACGATCCAGATCATTATTACTCCATTTAAACAGCCCTTGAATGGTGTCTTCTCACACTGCATGTTAATACAATCAACAAACAGCAACTTAACCTGCAAAAACCTCCCCATTTTAACTTAAAACCTAAGAGATTAAAGTAAGTGGGGAGAGAGAAGCAGACTGTGTCTTTCTGTACAGTTTTCTAGTGGATAAGATTAAAAAAAATTTAATACTTTAATTTCCTTTTAATATGAGAATGCTTTTATTAGTTGCCATTAAGTCAGTTCTTAGTCATGGCGACCTCTGTGAGAAGGAAGCTATAAATGGCTTTACAATTTTCCATTAATGATATGATACATTCAAATGCTAAATAATTGTATGCTACTGTTAATCCTGCTCTATATAAAGGAAGTAATTGACTGGGTGGTCCCTAATGTCCACTTTCAATTTATGAGCCTACAATTACATGTATCTGATGCTGTGCCTCATTTGGTCAGCACACGTTTGCCTTGTACTTGTAGCACAAATGCCATCCTTAGCTCCTATGTACACGTGCTACCACGTGCATGATGGGAAATTATTAGCAAATGACTGAAAAGTTCATTAGGGAGCTCTGGTGCCATAGTGTCCAGGGTTCAACTGCCGATCCAAAGGCAGGCAGTTTGGATCTCCAGCTGCTCTGAGGGAGAAAGATGATCAGTCTCCTCCCACGCAATTTATAGTCTCTGAAAATCTGCTGGAACATCAGCTGTGAGTCAGTTCCAACTTTACAGCACTTAACTCATACAATAAAAGTTCATTATCTACCTAATATGCAGTATATTGCATACTACATGTCTATTTCTGTCATTTGGAGATGGCCTCTACCATATCTGACTTTGTTGTTATGTGCTGTCAAATCACTTGCGACTCATAACAACTCTATGTACAAAAGTCCTAAACCCTGCTCTATCCTGTGCCAATCTCACTGTCTCTGACACACCTACTCTCATTACCACAATCACTGAATCGTTCCATTTCATCGAGGGTCTTCCTCTCTTGTGCTGTCCCTCCACCCTCCCAAACTGGTGAGTTAAAATATACAATCTAATGTACTCTCATGTTTATTGCTGTTATTCACAATAGCAAAGCGATGGAAACAACTCAAGTGCCCATCAACAAATGAATAAATAGAGAAATTGTGGTATATTCACACAATGGAATACTATGCAGTACTGAAAACAAGGAACTCATGAACTATACAAAATGGGTGACCCTGGAGGACATTATATTGAGTGAAATATCTCAGTCACAAAAGGACAAATACTGCATAATGTCACTGTTATAAAACAAGAGGACATCAGGATTGGGGGGAACTAAGAAAAGAGCGGCTAAATAATGTACATTGCATTGAAACAGATGAAGGAAAGAACTGCTTAAAAGGAATATATGATTATGTATTATTTGTATGACAATAGTCTAGAATAAGAGCTGTATAGTAAAGTGGACTGGGTGAGGTTGTGGGGTGGGGACAACGGAAATTTTTTTTTCTAAGAGAAAAGTGAACTGGAGCGGGCAGGGAGGAAAATGTGCAACAATGAATGAAGAGAAATCTAAGTTCTCTATAAACTTTCACTAAAATCACTATTAAAAATATACAATCTATTTGGATCCAACTAAAAATGTCTTTCTTTGGCATACTTAGAGTATTTATTTGCATATTAAAATCCAAGCTAACTTGAAGCCACGTGGAGTTTATGAGCACACCAGTTCCCCTTCTGAAGCTGACCCTAGCAAGTGAAGGCCCCTTTGGGACACTCTCAATGCACCTTCTATCTGATCTATGTTCATGGATAGGAGGCATTTGCCCCACATAAGGAGAAACTTTTTCTAAGCTCATAGGATGTACACTAACATTGTAGTATGCAGTTTCTTTCTGTCATCCTATGCCTTGGTCTCCCTGAAAGGTTGTCTCCTTGATAATCCCCAGAAAGGAGACAGTGAATGATGCTCATATGAACCCCATTGTCAGAACCAGGCAAACCAGCACAGAAAGAGTAGTTACCAGGGGTGGTGTTCTATCATCTGATTTACTTGGCTAAGCAGTTACTGGGGGGTGAGGACAGAAGGGAAAAATCCCAAATAATGAACAGGAGACTTACCGTGCGATCCCTCTTTCCAGAAGGATGCCTTGCAGTCGGATCTGATAGTCTGCTCGCTCGCCGCAGTCCTCTCGTTCGCAGTCAGCGCCAGCACCGCATTCCTCTCCTTACGCGTAGGTATCAGTTCAACTCCAGGCTCTGTCTGTGCTCTCTGCTAACAGAGTTGGGTTTTGAACTGCAGAGCACTGGGAAGGAGAATGAGTCAGAAGGTAAACGGCATGCCAGTGGAAAAGGTTTCAGGACTGTATCCTCATGTTGTTCAGAGTTGTGGTCAAGATGTGATTTGGCTTAAAGCACAGACTTCATTGGCCCTTACTCTGCCTTCCAGCTGAGGAGTCGGAGCCCACAGAGGGGTAATAGCAGTGAGACAGGCTGAAGGCTCAGTGTGCTAATTCACAGACAGAAGAATGGGCTTCTGAGAGTGTGTCAGGGCTGAGGCGGATCTGCTGAGGTGTATCTGATTGTTGCTACACAGTGATCAGTTAGCAACATCCCTGTGGAGAGCTCAGGTTGGCCTTTCTGGCATTGTTGTTTGTTATGTGCTACCTGTCAGACTGACTCATAGCTGAACCTTCAGTAGGTTTTCAGAGGCCATAAATCACATAGGAGGCGACTGCTCATCTTTCTCCTGCAGAGCTCCTGGTGGATTTTAAGCACTTGCCTTTGATTAGCAATGCAATTCTTTACCTACTAGGCCACCAAAGCTCCTTTAAAGTACTTATATACACTTGTTTTAAAAATAAAAAATAAACCCCAGCTTACACTTATAGATAGTTATGTTGTTAGGTGCCATCAAGTTGACTACACAATGACAAGCCATGAACAACAGATCTGAGCCTTGTCCTAACCTACACCATCCCCTCACACTCTGACTTGCCTGTGTCCATTGTTACAGTCACTGTAGCAATCCAGCACATTGAGGGGCTTCTTTGTTTCATTGACCCTTCTCCTTTTCCAGCATGATATCTCTTTCCAAGGACTGGCCTCTCCTTACAACATGCCCCAAGCGTGGGAGACAGAGTTTAACCATCCTTGCCTCTAAGGAACATTCTGACTGCACTTCTCCAAGATACTTATTTGTTCTTTTGGCAGTCTATAGGATATTCAGTACTCTTCACCTTACACTGACACCCTTGCTTTTTAGCACTGTGGAGAGGTCTTGAGCAGCAGATTTTCACAAACAACATGCCTTATACACTTATAAAGGAGGTCACTCTTAAGATTAAGGTGCATCTGATCCAAGCTATCCATCAAGCTACGCATCTGAAAACTGGACAATGACTAAGAATGATAGAAGAATCAATGCTTTTGAGTTGTGATGTTGGAGAAGAAATATTGGATATACTATGGACTGTCAGAGAACAAACAGGTCTGTCCTAGAGAAAATGAAACCAGAGATTCCTTGGAGGCTGGGATGGTGAAACCCCATGTCACATACTTTAGGCACGTTACCAGGTGATGGCAGTCCTTGGAGAAGGACATCATGCTGGGAAAGGTGGCGGGTCAGAGGAAGAGAGGAAGGTCCTGAACGAGATGCACTGGCACAATGACTGTAGCAATGGGCTGAAGTATGAAGTATGCCTGCCAGATGTGGTGAAGTCAATTCAGGATGAGATGAGTTCAGAGCCCTTGTCCATAGGGTCATTATAAAGGGTAGTTGACTTGAGGGCACTCAAAGACATATAACAAAACAAATAAACACAGTCATGAATTCCCCTTCCAGTGAGGCAATGTCTTAGTTAAGCTTCTTATCTCACCTTTTCTGATAAGGAAAAGGATGGGGACAGCAGTCTCAGGCGTCACCCCCAGGGATACTCTCACTCTGTCCCCTGAAAGATAGTAAGGATACTGTGCTCTGTCCCCACAGCCATTTCTCAGCATCGTGCTCTTCAGCCTGGCCGGCGTCGTGGGCTTCCTAGCTCACTACCTGCTGCCTCAGCTCCGCAAGCATCATCCTTGGATGTGGATTTCCCACCCTGTCCTCAAAAACAGAGAATACCAGCAACGGGAAGTGACAAGTGAGTCATGGCATTCCTTGTCATTAGAATGATATAAAAAATTATAGTGAATGCAACAATGAATTAATGAAAATCCAAAGTCTCTGTAAACGTTCATTAAAATCATAAAAATTAATTGAAAAAAGTATTTACAGCAAAAAAAAAAGGTGAAACAAAAAAGCTTGCAAAAAAGCATTAAAAGTCTTGAAATCCTGTAGTTTTTGGTTGTGTATCCATTATAGAATATTCATACACTGTTTTAATAAAGAGTATCTCGCTTAAAAAAATTTTAGTGAGAGGTGTGCTCTCAAGTGGAGACTGGGTACGCTAATGGGTCCAGTGGTATTCCCACTCATTCTCACAAGCCAGAAAAAAGGAAGTTAAAGTGGTGTGAATTGGAAGTGCATTTTGTACAAATATTAGTTGATTATTTGCATGCAACAAAGAATTCTTTTCTAGCACTCAAACTTGAAGGTTATGGGGCTCCAGTTCACATTAACTAGGGACCAGGAGGGACGTTATTTCATTGTGTGCTCTTCTCCACCAAATGTTAGAAGCATAGGAGAGGTGGACCTCTTAGTACTTGTGTCCACTTGAGAGGCAGATGGCCTTTCCCTGGTCATAGTCGTGCACCAGCCTGGTAACAATCACAGTGTGACAAGTTCTGCGTACAAGCTCTATGGGAATCTCACTGGGAGGCTCCTCCCTACGGTGGGTGTGGCTCCTCCCTGTGGTGTGGCTCCTCCCTGCGGTGTGGCTCTTCCCTGTGGTGTGGCTCTTCCCTGTGGTCTGGCTCCTCCCTCGAGCGTGGCTCCTCCCCTCAGTGTGGGCTTTCTTGCCCTGTGGCTCCAGGCTCTGTGGTGATGAAAGTGAATAGATGGGAGAAGAATAGTATCTGGTACTTGGGTGAAGGGATAGAGGAGACGTTTCTGACTCCCGTGAGGACATGGCTGCCCTTGAGAAGAATTAGGAGGAGGTGGGTGTGGATTCTGTTTAAGGGGAGGGTGAAGAAAAAGAAGAGTACTAATTCCTTTCAGCCCTTCAGCATATCACACTCAGAATTGACAAAACTTTCTGGCTAGATTGTCTCTGTCCATGTCTTACTTTTCCATGTGTTCCCTTGTGTTGAGATCAGTCAAGCTGGTCGTCCTTACCAATGCTGCTGCTTCTGCATTCAAACTGCTTCACCTCTGGTAATTGTTCAAATGATTAAGTGGTTTACCTAGCTGTCTCCACATCCAGGGCTATAACAGGGCAGTTGGTGCTTGCTGATTCTTAGGAAAGCATTGCGTTTAGCCCGCTGTGCCCTCAGCAAATCCAGTAGATTAGTGTGAGGAAACAGAAAGGGATAAAATAAAAAGAGCTTCAGCCAAGATGTTTCTTCCAGAAACATCTCTGGGTGAGTGCAAGGAGCTGCCTACATTAGAAGCCACAGGACTAAAGCAGGCCAGGGAGAGAAACTTGACTGCGGCGTGCAGAGCGAGAGGGCGTGGTCAGGAGCTCAGGGCAGTGGCTGTTGCGTCCACGGGTGGGTGTGGAGTAGGTCCGCGCTCAGACGGAGAAGGCCTGGTGCATGATTTCGGGGTTTAGACCTTCAGGCTTTTCTTCCAAGGTGCCTCTTGTGATCTCCAAGCTCCAGCCTTCCAGTCACAGCTGACTGCTAAGCGGTTGTCATTAGGTGCTACTTGATGTAGCTTTAGAGCTTGGAGATTGTGTGTGTGTGT